TACTAAGAGATTTTGTGGGAGTTAATAGTCTCCCCTGTCTTTCACTTCACACAAATATATCGTAGTACACGTGATTCACGGTTTATGATACTTGATCAAGGGCGGAAGGAGGAGATGGCGAGTAAGGTGAGACGTGAATGTCCATCAGACGTGTAAGGGTGAGGCCGCGACTGGGCGGGAAAGAAAACGAGTACATTGTTCATCAATCTAATCGAAATATTTTGTTACGTTCTATAACATCAATACCACTGATATTGTACCTCTTTATACCAGCAGTAGCATAACTCACAGGTACTAGCCTCGTCTGTCAATACACTTATAATATACCACAGGTACTAGCCTGGTCTGTCAATACACCTATAATATACCACAGGTACTAGCCTCGTTTGTCAATACACCTATATCACAGGTACTAGCCTCGTCTGTCAATACACCTATACTATACCACAGGTACTAGCCTCGTCTGTCAATACACTTATAATATACCACAGGTACTAGCCTCGTTTGTCAATACACCTATATCACAGGTACTAGCCTCGTTTGTCAATACACCTATAATATACCACAGGTACTAGCCTGGTCTGTCAATACACCTATAATATAATCAAGGTACTAGCCTCGTCTGTCAATACACCTATATCACAGGTACTAGACTCGTTTGTCAATACACCTATAATATACCACAGGTACTAGCCTGGTCTGTCAATACACCTATACTATACCACAGGGACTAGCCTCGTCTGTCAATACCCCTATATCACAGGTACTAGACTCGTTTGTCAATACACCTATAATATACCACAGGTACTAGCCTGGTCTGTTAATACACATATAAAATAATCAAGGACTAGCCTCGTCTGTCAATACATTTATAATATACCACAGATACTTGCCTCGTCTGTTAATACATTTATAATATACCACAGATACTTGCCTCGTCTGTTAATACATTTATAATATACCACAGGTACAAGCCTCGTCTGTCAATTTACCTATACTATTCCAAAGGTACTAGCCTCGTCTGTCAGTACACATATAATATACCACAGGTACTAGCCCGGTCTGTCAATACACATATAATATTCCACAGGTACTAGCCTCGTCTATCAATACACTTATAATATACCACAGGTACTAGCCTCGGCTGTCAATACACCTTTAATATCCCACAGGTACTAGCCTCGTCTGTCAATACACCTTTAATATACCACAGTTACTAGCCTGGTCTGTTAATACATTTATAATATACCACAGGTACTAGCCTCGTCTGTCAATTTACCTATACTATACCAAAGGTACTAGCCTCGTCTGTCAATACACCATTAATATACCACAGGTACTAGCCTGGTCTGTCAATACACATATAATATACCACAGGTTCTAGCCTCGTCTGTCAATACATTTATAATACACCACAGGTACTTGCCTCGCCTATCAATACATTTATATTATACCACAGGTACTACATGCAGCCTCGTCTGTCAATATACATATAATATACCAAAGGTACTAGCCTCGTATGCCAATACATTTATAATATACCACATGTACTAGCCTCGTCTGTCAATACACCTATAGTATACCACAGGTACTTGCCTCGTCTATCAATACATTTATAATATACCACAGGTACTAGCCTCGTCTGTCCATACACCTATAATATACCACAGGTACCAGCCTCGTCTGTTAATACATGCATAATATACCACAGGTACTACATGCAGCCTCGTCTGTCAATACACACATAACACAGGTACTTGCCTCGTCTATCAATACATTTATAATATCCCACAGGTACTTGCCTCGTCTGTTAATACATTTATAATATCCCACAGGTACTAGCCTCGTCAGTCAATACACTTATAATATACCACGTGTACTAGCCTCGTCTGTCAATACACCTATAATATACCACAGGTACTTGCCTCGTCTGTTAATACATTAATAATATACCACAGGTACTAGCCTCGTCTGTCAATACACCTATAATATACCACAGGTACTAGCCTCGTCTGTCAATACACCTATAATATACCACAGGTACTAGCCTCGTCTGTCAATACACCTATAATATACCACAGGTACTAGCCTCGTCTGTTAATACATTTATAATATACCACAGGTACTAGCCTCGTCTGTCAAAACACCTATACTATACCACAGGTACTAGCCTCGTCTATCAATACACTTATAATATACCATAGGTACTAGCCTGGTCTGTCAATACACCTATAATATACCACAGGTACTAGCCTCGTCTGTCAATACACCTATAATATACCACAGTTACAAGCCTCGTCTGCCAATACACCTATACTATACCACAGGTACTAGCCTCGTCTGTCAATACACCTTTACTATACCACAGGTACTAGCCTCGTCTGTCGTTATAACTATAATATACCACAGGTACTAGCCTCGTCCGTTAATACATTTATAATATACCACAGGTACTAGCCTCGTCTGTTAATACATTTATAATATACCACAGGTACTAGCCTCGTCTGTCAATACACCTATAATATACCACAGGTACTAGCCTCGTCTGTCAATACACCTATAATATACCACAGGTACTAGCCTCGTCTGTCAATACACCTATAATATACCACAGGTACTAGCCTCGTCTGTCAATACACCTATAATATACCACAGGTACTAGCCTCGTCTGTCAATACACCTATAATATACCACAGGTACTAGCCTCGTCTGTCAATACACCTATAATATACCACAGGTACTAGCCTCGTCTGTCAATACACCTATAATATACCACAGGTACTAGCCTCGTCTGTCAATACACCTATAATATACCACAGGTACTAGCCTCGTCTGTCAATACACCTATAATATACCACAGGTACTAGCCTCGTCTGTCAATACACCTATAATATACCACAGGTACTAGCCTCGTCTGTCAATACACCTATAATATACCACAGGTACTAGCCTCGTCTGTCAATACACCTATAATATACCACAGGTACTAGCCTCGTCTGTCAATACACCTATAATATACCACAGGTACTAGCCTCGTCTGTCAATACACCTATAATATACCACAGGTACTAGCCTCGTCTGTCAATACACCTATAATATACCACAGGTACTAGCCTCGTCTGTCAATACACCTATAATATACCACAGGTACTAGCCTCGTCTGTCAATACACCTATAATATACCACAGGTACTAGCCTCGTCTGTCAATACACCTATAATATACCACAGGTACTAGCCTCGTCTGTCAATACACCTATAATATACCACAGGTACTAGCCTCGTCTGTCAATACACCTATAATATACCACAGGTACTAGCCTGGTCTGTCAATACACCTATACTATACCACAGGTACTAGCCTCGTCTGTCAATATACCTATCATATACCACAGGTACTAGCCTGGTCTGTCAATACACCTATATCACATGTACTACAAATGTAGCCTCGTCTTTCAATACACCTATATCACAGGTACTAGCCCCGTCTGCCAATACACCTATATCACAGGTACTAGCCTGGTCTGTCAATACACCTATAATATACCACAGGTACTAGCCTTGTCTGTCAATACACCTATATCACAGGTACTAGCCTCGTTTGTCAATACACCTATATCACAGGTACTAGCCTCGTCTGTCAATACACCTATAATATAATCAAGGTACTAGCCTCGTCTGTCAATATACCTATATTATACCACAGGTACTAGCCTGGTCTGTCAATACACCTATAATAGTACACAGGTACTAGCCTCGTCTGTCAATACACCTAAATCACAGGTACTAGCCTCGTTTGTCAATACACCTATATCACAGGTACTAGCCCCGTATGTCAATGCACCTTTAGTATACCACAGGTACTAGCCTGGTCTGTTAATACACATATAATATAATCAAGGTACTAGCCTTGTCTGTCAATACACCTATAATATACCACAGGTACTAGCCTGGTCTGTCAATACACCTATAATATAATCAAGGTACTAGCCTCGTCTGTCAATACACCGATAATATACCACAGGTACTAGCCTCGTCTGTCAATACACCTATAATAGTACACAGGTACTAGCCTTGTCTGTCAATACACCTAAATCACAGGTACTAGCCTCGTTTGTCAATACATCTATATCACAGGTACTAGCCTCGTCTGTCAATACACCTATGATATACCACAGGTACTAGCCTCGTCTGTCAATACACTTATAATATACCACAGGTACTAGCCTCGTCTGTCAATGCACCTATATCACATGTACTAGCCTCGTCTGTCAATACACCTATAATATACCACAGGTACTAGCCTGGTCTGTCAATACACCTATACTATACCACAGGTACTAGCCTCGTCTGTCAATACACCTATAATATACAACAGGTACTAGCCTCGTCTGGCCACAGGTACTTGCCTCGTCTGTTAATACACCTATACTATACCACAGGTACTAGCCTCGTCTGTGAATATACCTATATCACATGTACTAGCCTCGTCTGTCAATGCACCTATATCACAGGTACTAGCCTCGTCTGTCAATACACCTATATCACAGGTACTAGCCTCGTCTGTTAATACATCTATACTATACCACAGGTACTAGCCTCGTCTGTCAATACATCTATACTATACCACAGGTACTAGCCTCGTTTGTCAATATACCTTTAATATAAGGTTGCTAACTCTGTCCCTCCAAGTAAAATGATCCAGTTCCAGAAAACGTGTGATGTTGTCATAATCGTTCAATGAATGACGCAGGGATGGGTATAGATCGGCGGGAATTATATTTTATTTAATTTGATGTATGATTTGCCATATATCATGAGGTATAATTTTCGGTAGACTTCACGAAACATCGAAAAATGGTCGAATTTCAGATGGTCGGACACTGTGCTGTCCACGGGATGACACGCTAAACCCCTAGTGAGTAGCGCAAAACACACGACATGTCCGCTATTCAATGTCGATACAGTGTTGTGTTGTGTGACTTTGGCGCTGATTGCTCCGTTAAATTGAGAAGCCAATAAGATGTAAACTGGAGTCGGGTGTAGGGGCTGACTGGTGGACAGGAGTCGGGTGTAGGGGTTGACTGGTGAACTGGAGTCGGGTGTAGGGGTTGACTGGTGAACTGGAGTCGGGTGTAGGTGCTGACTGGTGAACTGGAGTCGGGTGTAGGAGCTGACTGGTGAACTGAAGTCGGGTGTAGTGGCTGACTGGTGAACTGGAGTCGGGTGTAGGGGCTGACTGGTGAACTGGGGTCGGGTGTAGGGGCTGACTGGTGAACTGGAGTCGGATGTAGGAGCTGACTGGGGAACCGGAGTCGGGTGTAGGAGCTGACTGGTGAAATGGAGTAGGGTGAAGGGGCTGACTGGTGAACTGGAGTCGGGTGTAGGGGCTGACTGGTGAACTGGGGTCGGGTGTAGGGGCTGACTGGTGAACTTGAGTCGAGTGTAGGGGCTGACTGGTGAACTGGAGTAGGGTGAAGGGGCTGACTGGTGGACTGGAGTCGGATGTAGGAGCTGACTGGTGAACTGGAGTCTGGTGTAGGGGCTGAATGGTGAAATGGAGGCGGGTGTAGGGGCTGCCTGGATGTAAACTCGATTTGGGTGTAGGGGCTGACTGGTGAACTGGGGTCGGGTGTAGGGGCTGACTGGTGAACAGCGTCGGATGTAGGGGCTGACTGGTGAACCGGAGTCGGGTGAAGGGGCTGACTGGTGAACTGGGGTCGGGTGTAGGGGCTGACTGGTGAACTGGAGTAGGGTGAAGGGGCTGACTGGTGAACTGGGGTCGGGTGTAGGGGCTGACTGGTGAACTTGAGTCGGGTGTAGGAGCTAACTGCTGAACTGGAGTCGGATGTAGGGGCTGACTGGTGAACCGGAGTCGGGTGAAGGGGCTGACTGGTGAACTGGAGGCGGGTGTAGGGGCTGACTGATGAACTGGAGTCGGGTGTAGGGGCTGACTGATGAACTGGAGTCGGATGTAGGAGCTGACTGGTGAACTGGAGTCAGGTGTAAGGGCTGACTGGTGAACTGGAGTCGGGTGTAGGAGCTAACTGCTGAACTGGAGTCGGATGTAGGGGCTGACTGGTGGACTTGAGTCGGATGTAGGAGCTGACTGGTGAACTGGAGTCGGGTGTAGGGGCTGAATGGTGAAATGGAGGCGGGTGTAGGGGCTGCCTGGATGTAAACCTGAGTTTGGTGTAGGGGCTGACTGGTGAACAGAGTCGGATGTAGGGGCTGACTGGGGGACTTGAGTCGGATGTAGGAGCTGACTGGTGAAATGGAGTCGGGTGTAGGGGCTGACTCGTGAACTAGAGGCGGGTGTAGGGGCTGACTGGTGAAATGGAGTCGGGTGTAGGGGCTGCCTTGATGTAAACTCGAGTTTGGTGTAGGGGCTGACTGGTGAACTGGAGTCGAGTGTAGGGGCTGACTCGTGAACTAGAGGCGGGTTTAGTGGCTGACTGGTGAACTGGAGTCGGGTATAGTGGCGGACTGGTGAACTGGAGTCGGGTGAAGGGGCTGACTGGTGAACTGGAGTCGGTAGTAGGGGCTGACTGGTGGACTGGAGTCGGGTGGAGGGGCTGACTGGAGTCGGGTGTAGGGGCTAACTGGTTAAATGGAGTCGGGTGTAAGGGCTGACTCGTGAACTAGAGGCGGGTGTAGGGGCTGACTGGTGGACCGGAGTCGGGTGAAGGGGCTGACTGGTGGACTGGAGTCGGTTGTAGGGTCTGACTGGTGAACTGGAGTCGGGTGTAGGGGCTGACTGGTGGACTGGGGTCGGTAGTAGGGCTGACTGGTGAACTCGAGTCGGGTGTAGTGGCTGACTGGTGAACTGGAGTCGGGTATAGTGACGGACTGGTGAACTGGAGTCGGGTGAAGGGGCTGACTGGTGAACTGGAGTCGGGTATAGGGGCTGCCTGGATGTAAACGGAGTCGGGTGTAGGGGCTGACTGGATGTAAACTGGGTTCGGATGTAGGGACTGACTGGATGTAAACTTGGGTAGGTGTAGGGGCTGACTGGATGTAAACTTGGGTCGGATATAGGAGCTGAATGGATGTAAACATTGGTCGGTGTAGGGTCTGACTGGTAAACTGGGGTCAACTACAGGAAAAACATAACCTTTATTTCAAACTCACATTTGAGTTACTATTCCGTACCAACTAAGAATAGTGTTTGAACTTTTATTTGATGAATCAGGAGCGATCGATTACCTGACATCGATGTGATTCATTTAAAAATGTAATAGCTGGAGAAAAAAACCCGCTTTTTATTTCACTTTTATTCATTTGTTTCAGCGCTACAGCTTTGAGACTTCATCTGCACTGCAAGAAGCCTAGATAACATGGTGCAGTTTTCTACTAAAAAGTCCTCAAATTGCGAAGTTCTCTCTAAGGAATATTAACTTTCACAGCTCAAAATTTACGAACTGAAAACAAACATTATCTAAAAGTGCAGTTCATTATATAAATGCTGACAAGTTAATAAGACGTTTTCTGGGGAAGTGTCAAGCGTACTTCTATTGAACTTGGAATGATAACGATCATATACATAACAACGGTACATGTCGTCTTAGCGAGATAGAAAGATTGCTCCCTCTCTGCCTGGTCTTAAACTTCCGCTTAAGTTTGACGATGACGGCAACCTGGGACCTGAAGAAGGCGTTTCCGGAAGTCTAGTTTGCTGTATAATAGTTAGTCCGGATACATGGGTTTTCCAAACAATATTTTCCCGTTTAACAGTAGTTCCGTATTTAAGGATACGTCAGGATAGAGATATTTCTGGATTATTATAATCCAACCATCGTATATCGTCCGTTTGCAAGCGGACAGCAACATACATATTTCATCAATACCCCAGGAGGTGTTTTAGCATTATCATTATAAAGTGGACAATAACATATATTTGCTTGCACTGCATCTTTTTGTAAATGAATCACGTGATCTTTCCAAAACTGCTCAATCATAGACATTCCTTTATCCATAAAGAAAAAAAAAACATACTTGTAAGCTACAGACCACACATGTGTAACATTGTAAGTTTAATATTCTTTGTCGGGGGGTTTACATGGATTTTTTCAGGATAAAGTCCATTTATATTATGAAAGTAACTATGATATAGTTCAATTAGAAAAACTAAGTCCTGGATTCTAATTGTTAATAAATGTTGTGGAAAAACATTCAGAGTGAAAGGATTGGTTTCCCTTAAAGACTTCAGCAACGGTACTTTACATTTCATCATCATTAAAAGTCACTATGAAGTCAGCTAAAGGGATATTCAAAATCTTGTTCGATTCTTATTCCAGGTGGCTTCCTGCACACGTTAAACCTACCGCACGGCTCGTACGGACAGTGAGAAGATCTGGCGCCACACTTGGTAACGACAAAAGCGGAAGAGAAACGAGAAACAGGTGTAAAGACAATGATAACGTACAGCCTGAAATCATTTCCGATTCCGCATTAGTCAGCCTATAAACGCAGTTTAAATAAACATAGAGTCGTTAAAATAACAGTGTAACAGATACAAGTAGCTGTTAGCCCTAGGATAGAGAAAGAATCCGCCATACTATTAGCTATATTCCCTTTTTTAACATGTTTATACTGCCGATATTTTTACGTTTTACGATAAATCATATTTATTCTCTTCTTTCCAAATGTTGTTTCGAAGCGAAGCGTATATCAATTTTAGCTTTTAATGTCCATACTATTTCAATTAACTATGTTTTAGATAAATGTATGCGTGCTCAGGTTCTTTTTACATATAAGAACATTTTAAAGTTAAAGATGGGGTAACAGCAAAAGAGGTAAGGATAGGTTTAAGGACACCAACGTATTATTTTTGAAATATATATTCGAAGAGCTCACTTAATCTTACAATACATCTACATTATGCCTCTGGTTCAAAGGACCTGTTACAGGAACAAAAGAATTTTGCCCACAAAGCAATTTAACCATTACTGGTTTATATTTGTAGCTCCATAAGACACGACCCATGAGATATTTTAAAAAAAATAAAAAGGTCCCCAGGGCCTGTGCTATGAACTATTTAGTGCCGCCTTCCAAAGGTGTACGACAGGGTTCACTTTTTGTCCAAAAAACTATCAAAACAATGTTTTACGCTATCAAATAATATTATATTATTTAAAGTAGGATCTGCTGCAAATTATGAACTCAAATATATAACAAAAAAATGCATAATAAAAAAGTTATAAAATCTTAAAGTCTAAAAAATTTGGTATTTTCATACACTTTTTTGCTACATCCATTGTTTTACGGAAGTAAAACACCAATTTCCGGTTCTTGTACACCAAAAATCTTTTAATATTATTTGGTGCATTATGTTGNTTATAGTAGAGTATGACTGTTTAACTAAACTAGGTAGTTAAAGGGGGGCATACAGCAAACGTTAGGCAATTTGTCAGGACATTTGGTGTACCAGTATAATATGTTGAAGCTATGTTAATGCATAACATTGGTTCTTTTTAGGAGAGTTATAGTTTCCGATTCATGGATTGTTGTATTTACTGTTGTTGTTTTTTAGTTTGACAACACATAGTCAAAATTGGTTATTAAAAACATTTTTATGAATTTCTACTTTCTAAGTCAATCTTAGGTCATGCTTCTCCTTTTGAATGCATTCACAATATGCAGTCTCTGAATTTGCGAGCTGAAGGCTGGAGCGTTTTAGCATCTGTTAAATGTGCATAGTATCCTAGATAATACAGTATTGATGCGACATGAGCACACATACCCGATGTTCTCTTTCCTGCAGGACACACACAATAGTATGCCTTTACAGGATCCTCTGATGCGTGTAGGTCAAACTCGATCCAGACATTGTATTTTGCTTGCGACCTGTGGCGAGAGTGTATTTGGCCTCAGAGAAGGTCATCAGCATGTTGGTACACCCATATCTCATAATCACCCCCATCTGTCTGATGTTCGGTGATATAGCCAGGTGCCAGTTTCAGCTGATATGTACCACAAGCCAAAGTCTCCTGGTATTCCAAATCTAGCTTTGGAAACGGGATTTGCGAGGCTTCCAGCTTCTTCCATTCACTCTTTGCTCTGCGGGTCATATTTGGATCATCAGCTACACGCTTGGCCAACGCATTGCCACTGTCCAAGAGAGACAACATGCGTTGTGCCGTCTGTGTATCACGCTGCTCACGATCTGGATCAGAACAATAAATTGGTCCTCGGAACGCATTCAGACATGCAATCACAATGCGAACGAGTTTGCCAATAACCGGAACCAGAACGTTTGAAGGAAGTTTTTCTCTGAACCGAATCCACTTCTTCAAACGCCCATGGTAGGCTTCGACAACCCATCGGGTTTTGGTACATTGGCGATCTTCATTCGCCTGGGAAGCATCTACTTGTGATTTCCCAGGGGTAAGGAAGGATGGCATTTTTGAATCGTACCCCAACTCGGCTAAAACATCGAGGACATCCCTAAAACCACGATCGACAATAACATTGTCATGTTCATCAAGCCAAGACTTCAGGTGGTCAAAGTTTTCAATGATAAGTTTAGTTATTGATGCATCATTAACACTTCCATAATACGGTCCGATTGTGTCCAACACATATCCATCTGGCAACACAATTGACATACACTTCAGATAATTCGTTTTCTTTTGTCCGCAATATGATGATCTCTGGAATGCATGATGCGAACTTTTGTTTAGATAGATGTAAGTGCCATCAAGTATGAGACTTACTTTGTCCCCAAAAAATGCTTTGGTAAACACTGTGTTGTGTGATAAGGCTTCTTTGCGTGACATATGGNGATGATAGAATGCATGATGCGAACTTTTGTTTAGATAGATGTAAGTGCCATCAAGTATGAGACTTACTTTGTCCCCAAAATATGCTTTGGTAAACACTGTGTTGTGTGATAAGGCTTCTTTGCGTGACATATGGTTTGTTCCAAGGTATTGGGACACAACGGTTACATTCAAAACTTCGATAAGCTTGTGGAAAAATCTGGACAGTGAGGCTGTTGATAATTTGGTCAGAACTGATAACTGGTTCCAAGACAGATCAGTTTTTAATTTTGCCCAGAAAAAAAGGAGCAAGTCTTCGGAGCACACACCATCAGTAAAAGCTGAAAGGATGTCGGGTTTGCACATCTCATGCATTTCCATAAACTGCTTTAGAGTCCATCCTGTCCATGTACGGAAATCTGAATCCGACAATGTTTTCAATTGTAGTTTTGGAGAATTTCCATATTTAGACACGTTATGTAGGATCTCAAGAAGATCAATCATGACCTCGTAACCAATAGCGTTATCAAGTTTCGTTTGCAAGGATGCCCTATCGACCATAGCTACTTCAGTATCTGGGTGTAAAATGCTTCCGATGATGTGTTTAGGACAAATACACGCATCACGAGGGAACCAAAGCCTGTGATTTACCATTAGAGAATGTTGCACTTGTTTCGGAATGGTAGCACATGTGTCATTATACTGGAGACATACAGAACATTTGCGATAAGAAGAGGATGCATATTTCAGATCTGTGATATTCAAGAGGGGCACTGACGGAATAATGGGGATGGCATCAATAACATCTTCCTCCTCTTGCAAATCACGACCGGTTTGTTCTTCTCCCTGAGAATAGTGACTCTCCACAGATGTGCTTGAATGAAGTCTCTTCCTGACACATTTGTCCATAACATATCATGCATATCATACTGCCATCTTCTACAATCAGATCTTGGTTTATAAGCATATGTTTCAACCAAGTATTATGCGGGGAGTCCAGCAATCTGGCTGTTTTACCGTCCTTTTTATATCCTTAAATCTTTTCCTACATTCTGGCATGATACAGGCATCACCCATGATGAAAGAATAATTTGAAGACTACTAGTATAGCTAGCTATGAATTACAAGATGTGAGTATGTGTGATCATGTGTACCTTGAAAACTGAAGTGATCCTATCACCACATCCCTATACCTTGGTATATTTTTCCTAAACTGCATTTCACATAAAAACAATATGATATAAACGGGGGTTTTATCCAAGGAGGTCAATTACCACAACCTATCTATTAAAGCCATTGTACATATCCTAACTGCAATTCTACCATTAGGATTCCATTTGTAGTCCATTTAGTTAAAAAGTTGATCAAGACTCTGCTATAAACCATATCATCCACCTTGATAGTATATTGGAATGATTTTGGGTTAATTATGAAATACTTGCATTGACCTGTAGTTATTGAAGATTTATTTTGACATTGGTCATACACCATATTAACCTTAAGATGACACATTTACCGAATACCGATTTTTACGAAATTACTACTATCGTCAGTCAACATAATGTGCTAAATAATATCCAAAATATGTTGGTGTACAAAAACCGAAATTGTGTCTATCACTTCCGTAAAGATGCGAAACAACTAAAAATGTACTTAACATACTAAACTTTTATGTGTGAGAGACTGCATAACTTTTTTATTTGGCAACATCTAGCTTTATAGTTGGGCTCATCATAAGCAGCAGACCTTATTGATGAAACTTTGATCAGTTGCGATAATAAATTGGTGCGACATATTGGTAAAGGATCAAATATGACTATAGTCATAAGGTTATTGCATTATATTTGGAAATAGACGTTGCTACAATTTTACATTTATATGACAAATTTACCGGTTCTCAAATTTTCTGAAATTTTCACTATAGTATCTCAACATAATGTACCAAATAATATTGAAAGATTTTTGGCGTACAAGAACCGGAAATTGGTGTGTTACTTCCGTAAAACAATTGATGTAGCAAAAAAGTGTATGAAAATACCAAATTTTTTAGACTTTAAGATTTTATGACTTTTTTATTATGCAATTTTTATTACATATTTGAGTTCATAATTTGCAGCAGGTCCTACTTTAAATAATATAATATTATTTGATAGCATCAAAAATTGTTTTGATAGTTTTTTGGACAAAAAGTGAACCCTGTCGTACACCTTTGGAAGGCGGCACTAAATAGTTCATAGCACAGGCCCTGGGGACCTTTTTTTTTTTTTTTTTTTTTTAAATATCTCATGGGTCGTGTCTTAGGGAGCTACAAATATAAACCAGTAATGGTTAAATTGCTTTGTGGGCAAAATTCTTTTGTTCCCGTAACAGGTCCTACCAGCATGTATGAAAAAAAGCTGCTGGTAAAGGATGCAAACGTACTGACGTCTTTCCAACCTACATGCTTCCCGCCGCAATCACGCCCAGACAGTTAAAACGTAGACCATGGATACACTGCTTATAACGTGTTATACCACAGGAACATAATGCCGTACCGTTCGTGACCAGGGCCCCTTAGATAAGGAGTTAAAGGCAATAAACTAATGCTGGCGCTCGTGGGGGGAGTGGGTGTCTTTATGGTAGAGGAAACTGGAGTACTTGGAGAAAACCCACGTCATCGGGCAGATGACCCTATACCTTTGGTTGTTGTTTTGTTGTTGCTACTGATGTTAGCTGCTATTAGTGATGATGTATACTGTATAAATTCCGGATTTCAGGTAGAGATATGGGATTTTCATCCATAAACCCCTTAATCTAGTCTCGTTAAGGATAGCGCGCCCTACTCAGGATTCTGGTGACGTAATGTTTATTACGTCATTAAGAGGATTATGCAGACGTACGTGTTCTGTTACTGCATTGTATTTCTAAGATTTCTTCGATACTGTGAGGATTTAAATGTTTTAATATTTTGTATTTTTCAAAAAGAAAGAAGGAAAAACCGAACCTGATGTATTCTGTTGTATCAGAACATATTATCAATTTTCATCTATTTGAAGTTCTACCTGTCCATTTGTCAAATATAAATGGCATTTATCTTTCTAGTGATAAGTGTTTACGTTGTGTTCACATTCCAATATAGTATAGGTACGATTCTATTGATAGTAAAACAAATGGCATTAACAATATATCGGAGGTTTTAGTATTTTTTTTCTAGTGAACGTGTTAACGTTTCATTACATTACATCAAGGCCACACTATAATAATACACATAGTGACGCCTTTGAAAAAAAATGTAAACATCGACAAAACTTAATTCGCAAAATACATCTTTTGGAAAACTCAGATTTAATCGCAGAAATTTCTTAAGATCATTATACTTACACAGATAAACAAAATATCATGAGTAAAGCTTTTGGGATTTAGATGGTTTTTTTGCGATAATAACATCAAGGGATAATACAATATTGCTTTGCTAAACCTCTTTGTGATTGGAGTATTGCGTTTTTTAAACAAGGCATATGTATGAGGCCATTGTAAAGGACTTAAACGATTTGCTGACTGGAACCAACTGATTGGCTGACTGGAACCAACTGATTGGCTGACTGGAACCAACTGATTGGCTGACTGGAACCAACTGATTGGCTGACTGGAACCAGCTGATTGGTTACATAGAACAACTACATTAAAATATTGAAAATGGAAGGACAATAAAAAATTAGTAATATTTTAACTTATAGATATCGAAATCCACACATCTTGTGATGGAGACGAAATATAATTTTACTTTCTGCACTGTCCACTGAACAGAAGATACACACGCACACACCTCAAGCATCGTTACTTTGTAGGGTCTTGACATGCGGTTTATCTTACGACTAACCATTTAGAGACCACGGCTAACGTTCCAAAAACTGGCACGGGACCAGAAGCGTTAAAATACGGAAGTAAGCGTGACAGTTTCCTAGACTACGAGAAGCCCACAAACATGACTTTATTGTAACAAGGAGTTGGTATTTAATTTTCATGAATAAATATATATTTATAACAATATCTATATTTGATTATTCTGAAAACATTTCAAAAAGATTCTTAAAGATAGACTTATTGACAAAATCGACCCCAAAGCACTGAGAACAGTACGACCGGAACACTTACGCTATGGAAACTATCACATTATCATGAGTCTTACGGCATGGGTTTGGAATTTCTGAAAATTATGTAGGCATGGATACAGACTGTCACTCAGTGTAATAATAGGCTTTTGGTCAGAGAGCTTTTAATCTTCATAACTTTATGATAAAAGACAGGACCATTACGAGAGAGCGTCTCATTACATCCTTACTGGTTCGTTCACAGACCCTCAGCGGACAGACCTACAGATATTGTTATCGTACATGCTCACGAACGTTCAATTCCGCTTAACAGACAGCTACTTGGCTCTTACGTGAAGTGTTCAAGGCCCTTATTTTAAGTATGCACTATACACAAGGTCTAGTGTGTTTGGATTTGTTACATATTGGTATACAACATTTCCGAAGCAGTTACCCTCCCCCCAGAAGTTGCACCACCTGACAAGTTTTGGATACTCCTCGCCTTGTCAGGGGAAATATTTGGATTGTGGAAGTCATATAGTTTATACCATACTTTACAAAAGTTTCTGGAGATGACAAAAGACAAAACATCAAAACCAAAGGAAACAGGACGAGGAAGAAGCTTAAGCTAAATAACACCAACCAGCAAACGAATTGGTATATAAACTTCTCACGAGATAAATCGAAAGTCTATTTGAGCATTATTGGAATGTTGGCAAATCAAAAATCCCTATGAGGGTAAATAAGAATCAAAACATATTGATATTTTTCTTTTGAATTTATATATTTCAAGATTGTAAATTAAGATAAGATTTTGGTAACTCAAAAATAGATTTTGATATATTTGTGAATTAAATATCATATTGGTATGTTTATAAACCAAGTTATGAGTTGTTATTTAAAATATCAAATGTATACATATTCCAAAGTTTTGAACTATGCGTTGAGTTATACCTTCAAATCCTTCATCGAATATATAGAGATTAAAACATTGACAGAATTAAAAATTAAATAAACTTATTTTTCATCTTACCGATATTTTGGTCGATGTTGAACAACCTCTTATCAAAAATGGATCTTCTAGCAAAACTTTCGACTTTTCGACACTTTACACAACAACTCCTTATACCACACTGATGAAACGCCAAAGTGTTCATGTTATTCGCGCTTTCGTTTCAACGAAAGGCGTACGGCAGTATAAATATTCGATAACAATAATATTTAAAGCATATTTCGTTAATTTTCGTTAATTCCGATATACGAAACCGATTGACCACATCGATCGTATATACCCTCCAAAGTTTGAATCAAGGACTCTATATACTCTTCAACATCAGCTGCTTCTTACATCATGACCAACAGTGACGACTTACTACTTAGCAGTATAATAAGCGTGACGATTTTGGCTTTCTGATCGGGAATTTTCCCTTTCTTGATAGTAACATCTCTACTTCCCCTACAATGTTGACAGGTCGCAGCTGATTCTGTACTCAAGAGCTTGCTCTGAATACTGTTGAAGAATAAGCTCACAATACAGGTTTTCTAAAGATACAGGTTGTTGGAGACTATGGGCGAGTTTAAAGGTTGTTATCAGGAAGTCACGGGGATATATGCTATATATTTGTGTGACATGAAGGTCGATGTGTTTTATTATGCTTTTTAGTGGGCCTTGTAGATATATTTTCACTATCCAAGATCACTTGGATTCTAGGGTCTCCATGTAAATCTTTCCATTGTACATATTTTGCCGTAGTTTTATCGAATTTCAGCTCAATTCGTGGCGGCGTTGACACCTCGATATTCTCTTTTTGTTTTCGACCATGATTACTTGAAAATAGA